AAATCGTATCGTTATATCGTATCTGATTCCGTATCCGTAACCGTTAAAATTGAAAGAAATATTTCCTGTTTTAGATACTTGTGGTTGGTTTCGCACTTCATATCCATGGTTGCAGGCCTCGGGGGAAAAGACTGCAAAACCTTGCTTGAGACGATGAACAACCCTTTGTGCCAGGTCTTCTTCATCCTGTACATCATCGAGCTTCTTCTTTTTTTTTGACAATTTTGAAAGTTTTTAACATACTTTAAAAGCTTTTGAAATTTTTGGAGAGCTGTCAAACTTTTTCAAGTTTTTCACGTTTAAATCTTTAAATCTTTTAAACACGTATTATTGTTCTTCTAAGTATTGTTAGTATTGTTATTTTTACTATTACTATTAATTGTTATTATTATTACTATTATAGGGCGTCGATTCCGACCGTCCAACGCACGGAAGCTTTCATGCGTTGACCCTGAGCACCGAATCGAACAGCTAAATGCACAATTGTCACAGGCCTCTCGGCTTTCCCCACGGCATCACTTTCGGGCCGAACTTCATCCAGATCGGCAGTTTCCGCCTGGCCGCGTTTGCCGCGGTGCCACACGACCACTTGACACTCTCTCACCAGACCCTGGGACATCACAGGTCAAAGTCTGGTTCTTTGCGGTTTTAGTAAAGCGCCAGGCCCACGTAGTGCTGCAGGAACGGCGAGACAGTGCAGATGTGGAAAAGCGATGGCACCACGAACCCTGGACCTCGGACCGACTGGAATGCCTGGCACGGCGACAAGGCTGTCAGTGCTGGCCCTGCAGGCATCGGGCACCTTGGACTTGCTGTTAAGGCTCATTTTGGGGTTTTCTTGTCAGCACGACAACAAAGAGTTGGATGGATCAGAATCTGCTAATGGCCCAGGTACGGGAACCGATTCTTGCAAATTGACAAGTTCCGCATCGGAGAAGCAGACGATGAGGGTGCGTGGCTGTACGTGAACCACATCAACGGCGATGAAAAGACCGTTGAGGTCGCTAGGGTAGCAATTCATCCAGCCAAGCCATCTTTGCCCTTCGGCGAGTTTTCGACGTTTCTTTCGTGACCTGGCAGTCTCGAGCCCCAAGCCGTGGCCCAGGCCTTTAACAAAGATGGCACCTGTCATGCGGACCGGCGACGACACGGTCGCATTTGGTCTACTGGCATTAACGAAAGACACGTACTGTGGCACTGCGGCAACATCCAGACGCTAAACTTAAGGGGGTGGGGGGTTGGCAATGATATTCGACTTTTTGGCGAATCTCGTAAGCTCGGAGGAAGGATCTTTAGAAACTCCTGGAGCCCGATGCCTGAAGATGCCTGAAGCCGCAACTCTACCTCGTGCTTCCGAGGAGCAAGCTGGGCTCCTGCAGTGGGATCACCACAGGAGCGGTCCGCAAGTTCAGGATGTTCAGGGGGGCGGGTAGGGTTCGGAGGTCAGAAGGCTAAGGTCTTGGGGTCTTGGGGTCCGAGGTCCCGGCTTCATCCAATTCGGGGACTGGCGGCTCGCGGCGGTTGACGAAGAGCACTTCTCCATCTCGCACCGCTCCAGGCACACAACCATGACCCTCGGCTCGCTTGGGAGGGGGAAGTTTGGAGAGTTCGGGAGAGTTAGGAGAGTTAGGGAGAGTTAGGGAGAGGGGAGATGGGGCGTTGTGCCTGCCACCCGCGGAAGGATTTACAAGTCGGATGGGAATCACCAGCCAGGGAAGCACAACCCTTTCTACAAAAAAACGGATGGGACAATCGCGAGGCAGGGTGTGTGCCCCCAGGGGACCTGGAGGAGGTGAAGCTCGGAGATCGTTTCATCCAGTTCGGCAAGTTCTGGCGGCTGGGCGAAGTGGATCAGCAAAAACTCTCCATCTCTCATTCCAGTGGCCAGACTCCCATGGTCTTCAGAGACGATGGACACTTGACAGCCGGGCCTAGCACCTCCGACAACCTTTTCAGCCGTAAAACAACAGGTGGGCCCAAGGGCATCACTTTCGGTGATCGCTTCGTGCAGATCGGCAGCTTTCGACTTGGGGACGTAGACGGGTGGCGCTTCTCCATTGCGCATGTGACGACCACCAATCGCATTGAGCTCTTCAAAGGAGATGCGCCCTGAATCCTGAACCTGAACCTAAGTCTACAACCACCGATGAAGCCCCAAAGCTGGACAGGAGACGGACATCGCGACAACGGCGATGAGGCAGAATGGACAACGCTTGGTCGGCGGCTGCAAAAATGCCATGTTCTCGCCAAGAAACCTCGTTTGTTCAGCTTCGACACCTTGTACGCCTTCTACAACCCCCACCACCAGCGCTACTTGCATTTGCACCCTGGTTGCATTGAGCACAGCCGGATGTGTGTGTTCTGCAGCCTGCACCAGGAATCATGTGGCCGGCATGGGATCCACTTACGACGCCAGTGGCCCTAGCGACCTGCCACTCGGGCGGAGATGGGAGCGCTTCGCAGTCGTGGATGCCGGCAACGGCCTCGTCGCGCTGCACAACGCCAGAAACAACAGGTTCATGAAGCTGAGCCACACTCGGGTGGAGGGGTCTGCCAACATGGCTGCGAGTCGCCTCCCATTCGGTCGCTGGGCCTGGGGAGGTTCGAGATCGTCGATGCGGGCAATGGGATGGTGGGTCTCCACAACCCCCACCACAACCGTTTCATACTTATGGACGGGAACGGCCATGTGAAACCGAGCAGCCAGATGGATGCCAACGAGCTGGCACCTACCACCAAGAGATGGGAACGCTTCTACATGGTGCCTGTGAGGAACTACCTTCAGCCGGACACCTGGGTGGCCTTGCGCCTAGGGTGACTTCGGCAAGACGTTTTCGCTAGGTTTTGGTGCAGTTCGCAGCTTCTGCATAGATCGCGCGACGCTCGCAGCCAAGGTGGAACCCAACGGCCGGCAGTTTCATCCAAATTGAGGGCGACCGTGTGGAAGGAAAGCTGCTGGACGTCAACGGTCTCCATGATGGACATCGTTGGGAGCGGTTTAGGGTGGTGGATGCTGGCAACGGCATGGTTGCGCTGCACAACCACGCTTGGAATCGCTTCGTGCGGATGATATGGAATGGGCATCAGCATTTGATGACTACCAGCTCCCCAGCACCTGATGACTCTCGCGATTGCACCGAGCATACATGTTTTCTTGACGGTCCTCTTTAGAATGTCAAAGTATTTTGGGCAAGGAGACGACTAGAGGCCCAAGATCACATGTTGCCATAGAGGCCCCCGTATCCGCATGTGTTTGCTGACATTCTCCTCCGGGCCCAGACCAGCGTCGCGCTCCCCAACGGGTGGGAGGAAACGATGGCGTTCGTGCCGCTGTCCGTCAACCCAGACAGCAACGAGATCGTCCTTTGGCATCCCGGTCACAGTCGCCGCTCGGCCGATTGCACAGGGCTTAGGGACAGTCGCTAAATCTTCTTGCAAAGAAGCTGAAGCAGGTAGGGCTCAAGCCTGATAATTCAGTGCAGCCAGCGCACTTCAGGACAACAGCTCAGTTTGGGAACCTCAACCTATACACCCTACCGTAAATGCTAATCGTACTCCAAAGTCCTCAGTTAATTCCTGTTTGAGAGGCCTGTTGTCTGCTGTCGGCCCTGCCATCCTCAGCCAGTTGTATGAAGGTTCCCGCCCTCATCCCAGGGAGCCCAAGACCATTTGATAAGGATTTTATGCAACAGCCTCAACCGCTGAGGATGAAGTCATCTGCAGCTTTCAGCCATACTTCTGAAGGCTTAGGGTGTTGGGTTTAGGGAGCCCCACGTAGACTGCCCAGGCGCGATCCAGATGAGTGGTACGACAGTCTCGGTAAGCGCGCACTGTAACGCTCAGGACTGCTTGAGGCTACGGCCGGGGTTTAGGGGTCAAACCCTCAAGCAGTCGAAGGTTTCTTTGCGCGACAGTACCACTGGGAAGGTAGCAGATTGGGTCAACGGTGCTCGGTGTTGCCAAGAAAAGATGACAGGTATGAGATATGACATACAAAGGTCTGGAAGTACGTCTGAGAGTCGTTTTGTTGCGACGTGGAGTGGGCACTTCTCTCTCTCCTGCACGGTTTCATTGAGCAATCGGCAATCCTTAAGCCCTCAAACCTTGTAGCCCATTAGCCCTTCATTCCAAAATCAGCCCAACGATCTCCTAAACCCTAAGCCCTGAGCGCGCCAGGACTTGAACGAGGAGTGGGTCAGTGAAACCTTCCGTGTGATTCTTCTCGAAGATCCCCGGGTCAGCTCATGAAGTCGAAGGTGGGCGTCGAGAGAGGAGGGCAAAGCAGGGTTCCGATGTTGGGAGCAGCTGCCGGAGCCTGAGACCCACACGCCGAAACTTTGCCAAATGAAGCTTCAGGTTGGTCCAAATCCAGCCACAGGTGGAAGAGTATTTCTGGTGCCTTAGATGTGTCATGCTGCTCTTACACAGTTGTTGCGTGGTCCTCCCCGATGAGGGTTTGGGATGTTGGGAACTAGTTGCACCTTGTGTCCTTCGTCCTGTGTCCGTCCCGTGTCTCCCTCCTTGGCCTGTCATGTCCTGCATCCGCATTCCACATCAGCGTCTTTGATCAGTTTCGGCTAGTCTAGTGCTTCGCTGGCATCTGACTCTTGGATGTTGCTAGCCCTTCTCTTACTAGTGTCGGTTCTGCAGTCATCATTTTTGTGATTGCTGCATCTTAGGACACACACGGACAGGCCAGCAAATTAAGGTCAGGCTGCATTTCAACTGATGTCTTGTGGTCATGGCTTTCTGTCTGAATTGCCGCCGGCATTTGCCAGGCCAGCGATTTGCATCGGACATCGATCGATGTCTTTTCCTGAGCTCTGGGCCAGAGCGACGCAGACCGAGAAAAGAGTTCGGACATCGATCGATGTCTTTTCCTGAGCTCTGGGCACACCGATGCATACCGAGAAAAGAGTAAGGATGGGTGCGGAGTGCGACTAGTGTTGCTGGTCCCACTCTTATTCTTCTTGCTGTTGTTGTTGTTGTCGTCGGTACAGATGTAGCCCCTTCTGCGAAAGCAGCGACAGGACCGCAGTTGTTCATGTCCCCCTCCCCCGCTGTTGTTCTTCTCCCCCACCTCCGGGAGAAACGGCAACCCTCCCCCCCATTCTTGTCCTTCCTCTCCCGTGGCAGTAGTAGCAATAGTAGTCGAAACAGTAGTAGGTAGGTAGGTAGGTAATAAGTAGGTATCTAAGTCAGCAAGCCAGCAAGAAAGCAAGTCAGTAGTTAAGTAAGTAAGCAGGTAGGTAGGTAAGTAAGTAAGTAAGTAAGTAAGCAAGCAAGCAAGCAAGCAAGTAAGTAAGTAAGTAAGTAAGGAAGTATGTACGTATGTAAGTATGTAAATAAGTACGCAAGTACGTGAGTAAGTAAGTAAGTAAGTAAGTAAGTAAGTAAGTAAGTGAGTAAGTAAGTAAGTAAGTAAGTAAGTAAGGAAGTAAGTAAGGAA